TCTTAGGAACCTTAAGTGCAGCAGAATTTTTTTTGTAACCTTGGCCAGATCTGTGCCTTGCCGCAATTCTGTCTCTGAGCTCTTCAGGCAGTTCCTTTGACCTCATGATTCTCATTTGCTCTGACATGCACTGTGAGCTGTAAGGTCTTATATAGACAGGTGTGTGGCTTTCCTAATCAAGTCCAATCAGTATAATCAAACACAGCTGGACTCAAATGAAGGTGTAGAACCATCTCAAGGATGATCAGAAGAAATGGACAGCACCTGAGTTAAATATATGAGTGTCACAGCAAAGGGTCTGAATACTTAGGACCATGTGATATTTCAGTTTTTCTTTTTTAATAAATCTGCAAAAATGTCAACAATTCTGTGTTTTTCTGTCAATATGGGGTGCTGTGTGTACATTAATGAGGAAAAAAAATTAACTTAAATGATTTTAGCAAATGGCTGCAATATAACAAAGAGTGAAAAATTTAAGGGGGTCTGAATACTTTCCGTACCCACTGTATATATATATATATATGTGTGTGTGTGTGTGTGTGTGTGTGTGTGTATATATATATTTTATTTTTATTTTTTTGGAGGAGACTATCACTGAAGTCTTTCACTTCTCAGATGTTTCTTCTAGAAAAAGGCCCTAGCAATTTCATATGCGTCTCTTCGAATTTGGAGATTTTATCCAAAACTACAACATAAATAATTTATGTTTAATGTGATAATTAATCTAATAATTAATGATTAAAAAGTCAATAAATAATACAAAAAAAAAAATATATATATATATATAGGAGTTAGAACAGAAAAAAAGACAATACAGTTAAAAACAACAGTGAAATATTAGATATTTATATTAATTCATGGTACACATATTACATAAATTATAAATAAATAAATTAGTTTTAAATTAATTCAGTTTGGTAAAATTAGTTAATGCATTAGCTATCATGCTAGCAATGTACAACATTTTTAGAGCATTTATTAACCTGGGTTAATGCTAATTTATAAATAATCTAATGTTCATTTGAATTCATATTTGTACATAATACACTAACAACTAATGTTAATTAAAAATTTTCAGATGTATATGTTGGAATTAACCTATATCAATAAATTCTTTAAAACTATTATTTGTATTCATGTTAGGCACTAATATTAGCAAACTGAGCCATAATTTATTATATTATATTATATTAATACAGTATAGGACAAGTGGTTTGGAAAATGCATTGATATTTATTGGTTGGTTATGTTTTGAGAGAGCATGTGTTTGACATGCTCACAGAAGGATTCTCATGGGTCAAACTGCTGACTGAGCTGATGTCGGGTTGGTTTTCCTCCCACAATGAGAAGAAAGAGGAAGGTCAAACTGAAAATGCTTTGTGAATGAATGCCAGTTATATGATGTAATGGCACAACCGTATATGGACTGTCTGTACCACTACCGCTATCCATCTATGGTTTTAGAGTTGATCGGATGAGGAATACTAGATTTATTGTTAGGTATAATACTAAAAGGATTTGATGTCTAGTTTAATTTTGGCCTTTGCCCTCTGCTCAGATCTTCATTCTCAGTTGGTGGTGAGGGTGGAGGCGTTTGACGGACAGTTTGGTCACTGCTGCAGTTTGGTCTCTTAGGTAAACACTGACGTTCAGACACCATCCAAATGTCTTTTGACAGATTAACATATGCTTTAGATGATGTTTGTTGGGCAGTGTTTAAAGGACATTTATTATAAAGCACTGCATATTTTTGTAGGCCAACCCATACGTTCACATCACCCTGTTTCCTTCAACAAAACCCCAAAAGGATTTTCCAATGGCTTTTGGATTATTGCAGAAAATAAGATCTGTGACCAACACAAGTTTATGATTCTCACATGTTTTACACAACTTTGGAGCCTAAATACACTCACCAGAAATTAAAAGCTAATTATACAAGTGGGTTATAAACGAACTACACTATATGGTCACATGATTTCACATCACTACCATTAAGCGTCTGACAACTCTGTCTTTGTTTTAAAAGCTTTCCCTGAAAGTTTGAGTTAGAGTAGTTAACAAGAGTGTGATTATGAACACAATGAGGCTGTGAAAGCAACTAGTGATCATGGATTTACCTGTTCAGCTTGATGACGTTTAATGCCCATTTATCCACTTGTTTTTAGACATGTAAAATCTTTATGCTGTAGAATAAAACAAGAAAATATCTTGAGCTTGTGTTCAACACAGACCTTATTTCAGGCATTTAACAAAAAACAAAAAAACCCATTGACTTCAGGACAATGGGACCAGAAGTGCCAATATGCTAACTTGATTCCAGGTTTTGGCCTAAAAAAGACATCATCCCTGCAGCAATATTCTGATCTGTTAATACCTACTGTCAGTCCTAAACGCTGGTTTTGGAGCTCTGAGGGGTCAGCAGACTGCAGCTCTTAACATTGTTGTTGTAGTTGTTGTTTGCGATGTGGATTCACAGGCGGGTGATAAAGCGGGGCTGTGAGAGAGAGGGGAAGTGGAGGTGTCGCTCTCAGAGGGGGGTGGATGTCATTACTGACTACAGCGTGTGTCCGTTTCAGAGTTTATAGGGACTGTAAGGCCTAATGGCAGCTAATGTGTTTATGAGAGCCCAGGTGTGTGTCTTTAAGCAACAGTAGCACGACAGGCTACATTCATGCTACATTAGCGGCAGTGAGGGCGTTTAGTGTGAGGAATTGGGAATTGTGCCTTATTTAAATATAACTTAAAAAGTTGCAAGGCCTGGTGATTCCTACAATAGATTTCAGGAGTTTAACCCACAGGTCAGTTTGACATGTGTGACCCTGGAGCACAAAACCAGTCTCAAGTCGCTGGGGTATATTTGTAGCAATAGCCAATAATACACTGTATGGGTCAAAATCATCAATTTTTTCTTTTATGCCAAAAATCATTAGGATATTAAGTAAAGATCATGTTCCATGAAGATATTTTGTACATTTCCTACTGTAAATATATCAAAAATGTTTGATTAGTAATATGCATTGCTAAGAACTTAATTTGGACAACTTTAAAGGTGATTTTCTCAGTATTTAGATTTTTTTGCACCCTCAGATTCCAGATTTTCAAATAGTTGTATCTCGGCCAGATATCGTCCTTTCGTAAACAAACCATACATCAATGGAAAGCTTATTTATTCAGCTTTCAGGTGATGTAGAATCAAATCTACATCTAATCAAAAATTGACCTTTATGACTGGTTTTGTGGTCCAGACTCCAGGGTCACATTTGTGTCTTTACTTCATTTTTCAATTTGATCCAATTCATAATCACACTCTCAGAAAAGCTGTCACTGGGGCGGTAGCTTTTCAAAAGGCACACCTTTGTACCTAAAGAGTCCATATTGGTACCTAAATTGTACATATTAGTACCTAAAAGGTAAAAAAGTGAACTTTTTGAAAAGGTACCGCCCCAGTGACAGCTTTTGTACCTTTTTTTTCCGAGAGTGCACTTTTAAAAATAAAGGTTTGAAAGAGGGAGTTATCACTCACAGTAATACAACAGAAGAACCATTTTTGGTTCCCCAGTGAATCTTTCAGTTAATTTTTTTTTTCTTCATTTTAATGGACAATGGCTCCACAGACCTTTTTTTTCCCCTTAGTGTTAAGAACATTTTAATAATTTTAATAATCTAAAGAACACTTTGTGGATTGAAAAGATTCCATGCATGTTAAAGGTTCTTCATGGAACCATCGATGCCAATAAAGAACCTGTGTTTTTCAGAGCATAAACACATACTTTCATTCATATAAATATTAAAATACAAAAACACTGGTTTCACTTCACACTCACAAACTCTTTTCATCGTGTTCATTTGTTAAAATGCAAACACTATTGATGAAAAGACAGGCCAGATGTATATTTATCACCTAAATGAAAATTCTACAAATTCTAGTCTTTGATTATGAAAATGATATTTACTCTGATACTAACACTGGAAGTGTGATTATGGTTAGTATATTTTTTGGATTCTTTGACTTACTGTACATGGTTGAATTATGTTATATTTATAATCAGTCACTGGTGGAAACTATGTTGAAAAACAAATATACTGTTTAACATTTATACATTTTACCAATAAATAAATAATTTTTAAAAATGCTACTATAAAAACCATTTAATTGGTTAACTAAGTTACCTTACCAATACGGTGAAAAACTGTAAATTAACATCACATTATATCAAATGTAATTTTACTGTAAAATAATCTAAAATTAATTTTTTTCAAATAAAAGCTGTACTGAAAAAAATTTTGACTCAGAAATTGCTAGTACATTTCACAATTACACAGAAACGGCAAGTAACAGTGAATTAAATGTGAAATTTTACTGTCTTTTGG